TAATGTTACTAAAAGAAGAACTCTCTCCATGAAAAACCCATCGAGTATATCCCCTTAAAAACCCATCACAAATTAAGTGAACTTTAGCATCTTCATATGTTTGCAAAGAAGAATTACCACATCGAATGAAAGGAAAAAAAATTCTTTCACCATAAGATTTATTACAAAATGCTAATTCAAGAAATTCTTCAACTCCTTTTTTATATTCGGTATTAGTTCTAGTCTTGTTCATCCAACCTCTCCATTTCATAAATATTGTAGAATCCCTAAAAGAATGCTATAATTTTTTTCAATTAAAAAAATAAAGCACAAACCTAGTTATATCATAAAGTACTTATCAAGAAATTTACCTTGAAGTAGTCACCTAAATTAGCCAATAAATATGCTTCAATCAACTCGGTTGTTCCACCGTAGAAAATATTGAAAAAAAAATCAATTTTATTAGTTAGAACAAAAACAAAAAAAAAACTTATCCATTACATAATAAAAAAAAGGAAAGATGTAATTGTACTCACCATACGAGCTTTTAAAAGTTAAATCCCCTTCCACTATTCTTTAAACTGAATTCTAATCTATAAAAAAAATTATAAATAATAAATAACCGAGCTAACTATAGAATATCGAAGGAAGAAAACAAGTATAAATCCAGCATGTGATGGGAGGGGACAAATTCGACCAAGCACTTAACACTTTAACCCACCTATGAACTATAGTAGCATCAAAGATTGTCCTAAAGTACTAGTACTTGTGCCTAGGATCAAGAGTTTATGGTTCATATGGGGAAAAATTATAGCATTCTTTTGGGGATTTAAATTTTGTACTTAGACCATGCAAATATGATGAAGCTAACAACATCTATAGCAAGGCTAATTTAGAGAAATAGCTTGTAGTCTATATTAGATGATGCTCCCACGAGAATTTATATTCCTATTAAACATCACCAAGTTTTTTTCTTAATACACAACCCTAAATCCAACCGGATAAAGCCTTGTTAATCCCTATTAGGCACATTATCGGTGATGAAGTTCATGCCTTGTAGGCTATACTAGTTAGCTAATGGTTTAGCTGGACTCGCTTTAAGTTTTGTTATGGTGGACTACCTCGGGATTACTAGCCTTAGTGTTTTCTATTATCTAGTCTTTACCAAGATGAATTGAGCTATGAATGTGATTCGGTGTTGTGATCATATCCGAGATGAAAAAGTACCAATGACTTAATACATGACCATATCATGTGGATGTCTCTGTCAATTTCCACATGCAAGTATTCCTATGTCCGGTTGTAGGAGGAACGTGCTTTGCATAGAATGTTTAGTTAACAAGCAAAATCAATTTTTGTGAAGTTTTACATACAATGCTTAGTTAACCACATCCCCCTATGCTCGTTATGTGATGGGAGGGGACAAATTCGACCAACACACTTTAACCCACCTAAACTCTTGATGGAATGACGAGGGCGGATATCGAAACAAAAGGAATCGAAATTCCTTCTCTAATTCTATTACACAATCATATAATCATATAAATCCAGCAAGAACAATTACATCCCCAAGCACAAAGTCTCACATGATTCCAATAACTTAACCGGACGGAATGAGTTTAACTTTAACCCACAATAGCATCAAAGATTGTCCTAAAGTACTTGTGATTTCTTTTATTCAAATAGAATTATTAAGTCCGAAGAAAAGAGGAGACCATAATAAAAGAAAGGACATGGTCGGCTTACATATTGCCACTTGACATATACCGGGAATCACAAGTATTTAGTAAACAACGGGGAGGATAGATACAATGTTACACTCGCTAATGCATTCAATCATGATAAAGCCATTCCATCTTCCTTGGTCTATATCGTCTACTTATTTTTGAAAGAAAATTCATATCCCTCAAGTGGTCTATTTGGTTCCGTTCCTAATCCCCTAATCTTCAAGCTCTCGGTACAAAGCTAAATTTAACTTTATATTAAACTAGTACGAGTCTTATATACTACAAAAGTATACTAAAAAGTAGGCAGAGACATTGGCGGAACCAAAGCACATTACATTGATAGTGTCTTTGAAGTATAACATCTAACTTTAAGTCACAAAATAAGGATTGTTATGGAATAACATCTAGGGCAAAACCGAAGTACTTAAGCATGACACACAATTCAAATAAGACTTAAAACTTACGAGAGGTGCTTTTAGGACTCAAAGTAACGATCCTTCTCTAGTTTGGGAATTCTTTTGAAGACAATCACTCTTGCTTCCCGGTGCTCTAGCTTTGTGTCACAAAATAAGAACAAGACAGTAGCATATTAAATTGAAAATTTAAAGAGAATTAGAAAAGAAAACAACGAGTAATCTAATTGATTGGCCACAAAATTAATTTAGCATACTTACCATTAGAGAGATCAACGAAAAAATCAACAATGGATACCCAATTGATTTAGAGGATAGCTATAATTCCGTTTCTAACAAGGAGAAAAAGACGAAGCGAGATGAGAACAATAAATAAGAAAAGGAGAAGAAGCGAAGCGAGAGGAGAAGAATAAGAAGAAGAGGAGAAGAAGAACGATGCGAGAGGAAAAGAAAAAATCTAAGAGGAGAGGGATAATGTAGTGCTCTTATCCATTTCAGAACCAAAATAAATAAATAAAAATAAAAGAAGAAGTAGAGCAAAAGATGGAAAAACCGGAGGAGAAGAAGGCTGAGGTATGTGAAGAAGGAAAGCTCTCAATAAGATCTTACCCCTTTTAGAACCAAAAAAAAAATTAAAAATGAAGAAGCCAAATAAAAGAAGGATGCGACAAATTGAGGAGGATAAGAAAATTAAGAAAGGGAAACTTGAAAACCCTAAGGAAAGGGAAGATGAAACACCTTTTTTCGTTTCAAAACCAAAGTAAAAAATAAAAAATAAAAAATAAATATATTAATGAAAAAAATTTGCGCCTCTCCTTAAACAAAACCGCCCCAAATTTCTTCTATAAGAGTTACCTACCGAGTGCAAATACTAAAAGACTTTATAAACCGCTACAAGCATTCTCGCCTCTATATACGTTTTTTGTTGTAGTGTAACACTCTTATACACTTACAATCCATATTTAGAGTTGTCTAATAATTTAGACTCTATTTAAAAAAACTTAAGCTTTGAGATGAGTATCCTATTTTCAATTGTACATATTAATATTAGTTTTTTTATTTATTAGGCGAGCGATGTTTGTCTAACAAAATATAATATGAAATAACAAAATGATTGATATATATATATATATACCTATTGAGGATATGGAAAATCTTGAATGAGCGAGATCCAATACATTTGTATTTCTATTTTTTGCCGGATATATTTCCCGAAATGGCTTCGAGAAAAATCGCGGATGAGTGAAATTAATAGAGTACTGCTACATATGCCAAATATTACTCGAGCAAATGATCTAATTTCACGAGTATATCGGGAAAAAACTCAAAAGAATTATACATATACTAAAAGAAAATATGGTTTCACCGTAGCTAAGCCCCTGCTACAATGAAACCAAAACGGTGTCGTTTTGAGTCTTTTAAACTCAAAACGATGCCGTTTTCCCAAAAAAAAATTATTTTTTTCAATTTATCAGTATTTTACATTTTGGTCCTCTAAGTTATTAATTTATATAAAACAATCCCTAATTTTCATGAATATTACCAAAAGGTCCCTATCATTTTTTTTTCCGGACTAGGTTTTTTTCATTAATTATTATTTAATCAAAATAATATTTTTTCCATCACCAATGGTTTCTTTTTCTATTTTTATAAATATTCTAGAACTAAAATTAAATATTCTTCTAAGATAAATTGATTAAACACCTCCTTCTAATTGGATTTTTTTAAAATGATTCATTAATTGGAGATATTTTTTATCTATCAAAATAAAAAATATTCTTAAGAAATATTTCAATTATATATATATATATATATATATATATTAAATTAAATAATTTTTTTGCAATGAGTATTAATTAATTTTTATTTTACATTTTTATTTTTAAATTATTTAAAATATTAAATTATGAAAATGATAAACTTATCCGTGGCAACGTGCGGGTATTGAGCTAATGGAATCTAGATTGTACTTGTCAATATGCAGAATATATTTTCCGAAATGGTTTTAGAAAAACCTTAAATGAGTGAATTTTATAATGTACAACTAATTTTTTCTGAATATATTTCGCGAAAAATTAGTGGATTTCATAGTGTACTGCTCAGGTGAGTGGATTTTAGATTGTACTGCAAATTTTGCCGAATATGTTTCCTAAAATGGTTTCCTGATAAGTGGATTCCATTGTTTACTGCCCATTTTGCCGAATATATTTCCTAAGATGGCTTCGAAATGAGTGGATTTCATAGTTTACTGTCAATTTTGCCGAATATATTTCTCAAACAAACGAGTGGATCTCACAGTATACCGTTAAAAACTCAAATGAAGTCTGTTAATAATTTTATTAAATATATTTCTTGAAATGACTTTATGCAAAATCTTAGTGAATAGATTTTATAGTGTATTACCAATTTTGCCGGATATATCTTCCGAATTCACTTGCCAAAAAATTCATACCCCACGTTAAATGCGTGAAATCTAGTGATTGAATTTTTTCAGAAAGTGATTTCCGAAAATCTATTGAGTAGATTAACATTACTGAAAAATGAAATTCACATCTACACCTGAAATTTTTCTAAATCTTATTTGGAGAATACCATATACGTAATATATTATATAGAACTATTGGTAACTTTCCTTTCTTTGATTATCCAACATAGGAATAAACCAAGCAATCATCACCGTTCAATAAATCCACGTGTAAAGGCCACAAGAGAGTCAGAGAACATGGGAGCATTACCATAACATGAAGAGAGACACCATCGTTTAAGCGCAATGAACCCACCTTTGCTTTCTTGATTCCGCATGCACTTATCAAACAAAGCTAATTAGCCTTTCAAGCATACAGCTTCCATCCCTTTAATTCTGTTTCCTTGATTGATCACCATGGCCAACAGCAACGACAGCAACAGCAACACCACCGCCAACAACGATGCTGCTGCCCCCAACAAGCCCAATGAGGAGCCGCAACAAGCTAACAGCCCTAGGAGGAATCCGAACAATCAAGATCAAGATGCTGTGATCACACCAGAACCAATGCCTAGAGGTTCTGTGCTGGAAATTGGATGATCTTATTCAGTTCCTAGCCCTACCAAGTCTGCGGGAACTGAATTTGGTGGGTCCTCTACTATGGTCACTGCCGCTGCCGCTGCTGATCCCGTTCCTCTTGGGACGAATATTGGAGGGAGTGGTGCTGTTGTTGATTTAACTCCTGATGACGAAGAGTCTAAATCAGAAGGCTCAATGAAGAAGCTAGCTAAAACGGAAGACGGGACTGAAGGACAAAGTAGCTGCATGCCAGTGCCAAAACGAGCTCGTGCTGAAATGGATGCTCCTCCGAGTGAACCGATGTGCTCCATATGCAGCAGAAGGTTTTATTCATGGAAGGCTGTTTTCAGACATTTGCGGACCCATCCTGAGCGAGAATGGAGAGGTGCATTCCCTCCCCCTCCAGAGGGACGTGCAGAGAGAGATGAGAACGCGTTGCAGATCCAATTGGCTCCGACCCTGCTGAACGTAGCCAGGGAAACTCTGGATAAGATGAATGAGGACCCTAACCCTAGTTTGGGAGCTGCTGGACCTTCGACTGCAATTCAAGAAAGAGGTCGTTTCGATTTGAATGCGAGGCCCATAGATTCTGGTGCTTCAGGATCATCAGGATCGTCTTCTTCTTCCATCGCTTCTTCCAGCAGCGATGGGTTTGATTTAAACAAACCACCCTCACCCCCACCCCCAAGAGGGTCATGATGGAAATTAAGGATCATCAGTATAAAAGATGATCATAAGGAATAACTAGGGATCGTTGGTATCATTTTCATTTTCTATTTTCCGTTTTTTAAAAAACCAAATTTGAAAATAAAAATAAAAAACTTGGTTGTTTGTTTGCTTTTTAATGCAAGAAACTAATAACTGGTTGTTAAAATTTTCAAAATCAAGCAAAATGGTTTTCAAAAATTGTGTCACTAGTGGTTGTTAGTCTTGAATTTTCTCGATAAAAAAAAAAAAGAAAATCAAAACAATCAAGTTAATTTTCTATTTTTATTTTCAAAAATCTGCAAACAAAAACAAAAAATTGAAAACCGTAAATGAAACCAAAGGATCCCTTATTATCTCTCTTTCATTTCATATGTTATCCTAATTGAAAAACAAATTAAAATTACAGGATTTGCTTAATTAGGTTCTTTCTTATTACTAAGAATTAGTTAAGGAACTCAAGCAACAAGCCTAGAGGGTTTTTAGGTTTAAGTTATGGGTTAGGTCTGGAAATCGAATGTAAGACACAGGTACTGAGTTGCGGATTGAACATTCACGAAGCTACCTTTTTTTAATATTTTAATCCAATTTTTTGTTTTAAAGACTGATGGTGTTTGAGAAATCTTTACAAGAAGTCATTAACATTTTCTTTAAGCTCCGTCTGCAACCAAGCCAACATGAAACAAGTGTCACCATATAACTTGAATTTAACTTATAAGATGCATTTCAACATTATTATGACCAAAACCTGTGACTATACATATTTGTTTTTCAGTTAAATTGAACCTACTCTTATCAATTTATGTACACAATTCTCCTTTTGAGACATAAAACTTAAAAAAAATAAAAAAAATAAAAAAATTTATAATAGTTCAAATCTAAACGAAAATAAAAGGTATAAGTTAGACTATGATATAACCTCTCCAAGTATTGTTTCTTTTTATTTACTGTTTTACTAATTGTGATCCCCATTCATTTGTGCTATTGCTTTGGGGTAAACAAAACGTGTAACGAAATTCCTAATAGATTTCAATCAGTGATCTATTATATATATATATATATATATATATATATATATATATATATATATATATATATATATATATATATATATATATATATATATATATATTGTTTGTACTAGAGATTTATTATTACATTTTAAAAAAATGGCACGGAGCCTAATGTGGAACCTACATAGCACATATACTTCTAGTTTCATAAATAAGTCTAAAAATGTCATATTTTAATTAAAAAATTAATCAAAAGTATTCTTGTTTAAGAAAAAAACTTTGAAATACTACAAAAAAAATTAGCAATTAGTGACGGATTCGTCTCTAATTACGGAAAACTTAAGGATGGATTTGCGATGGCCTTTAAAAGGCTCGTGTCCGTGAAGGATTAGCGACGGAATAATGAGGGATCATCAACAACTGAAAAAATTCTATCACAAAAAAATGTAGGGAAAAAGGGCCCCACAATCAACGACCGCCTTCCACTCGCTAAATGAAAAAATTAGCAACGGCAATTCTTTCGTCTCTAATTTTGCAAATTTTCAAGGTGAAATGACCCAAATCACAAAGAAGTTAGCAATGGATTTCGTAATCGGTCGCTAATATTACCTATGAGGCGACATAATTGATTTCCGTCACTACTTTGGGCAGATTTTAAGGGGAATTTTTCCCCAAAAGGCCAAAACGTAGCGACGAAAATCGGTTTTGTCGCTACATTTTGGTGAGGACCTTTGCACGATATTGGGAGGAAATTCCCCCAAAAAACACCTAAAGGGAAAATTTCCACCCAAGAGTCTAGTCCGTCGCTACATCATCGACAATTAGTGACGGCCATTGAGTCCGTCACTAATTGTTCGGGAAATTAGGGAGAAGTTTCCCCCAAAAATAGATTTTTGGGGGAAAATTCCCCAAGTAGTGACGGACGCCTAATCCGTCACTACTTCCCTTATATATACCCCCACCCTTTCTTCTTCTTCTCCATTCCGGTTCCCTCACCTCCACCACACTTCCCCCACTACCCACAAAAAATGACCACCCACACTCGCTTCATGTCTCCAAATCTCTTCAAAACTGTTCAAGAAAGTGAGGGGTATCTTTTTCCCTCGAAATTGAACTAGATCCGTGCTCTCTCTCCTTGATCTCTCGGGTAAAACTTTCTCTCTCTAACTATTATTTTTTTAATTTAATAAATGTTATAAATGTGTAAATAAATTTTGTTATTTTTTAGTTGATTACTTATTTGAATATTTTTAATTATATTGTTATGTTATTTTTTTTATTATGCTAAGTTGTATGTAGTATTGTAAATTTCTTAATTGTTATTTTATTTTATGACTGCTAGATTAATTTTGATAAATTTGATTTGGTGGTTATATTAATTGTTAGGTTAATTTGTATGTTAACGTAAACCTTAAAAAAATTGGTTAGTTGTCTATTTTAACTTAAGTTTGAAATTATAAAATTTTTTATGTAGTTTACTTAAATTTTGTTGATTATTTTTTAACATTTTTTATATTTGTTGGTTGTTTCAAATAATTACTAGCTTAATTAGTTTAAATTAATTTGATTTATAGTCATTTTGAATATAAATTTTATAAGTAATTTTATTGTTTTAATTATTAAAATTGAAAAAAGATAGCATGCATAATGATTTGACCGTTTCAAAAAAGAATTGAATAAAAATGTCATTGAAAAATTAAAACAAACGTTAAAATTTAATAAATATGTTATTAATTAGTAGAATTAATTAAATATTTTATTTAGGGTTTGATTAAATTAAATGTAGTTGAATATTTTCATAAATTAATTAGATGATAATGCAATTGAATGTTTTTATGTTCAAAAAATTTAAAATTTCATGTAAAGTAAAATGATAATGTAATTACTTTAAATTACCTAAGGTAGTTTAAATTAGGTTAAATGTTTGGTTTAGGTTAGGTTTAGGTTATTATTAGACCTAAGGTAGAAAATATTAAAAATTTTCACAATAAATAATTAAATATTAAAAAATTAAGTATTTATGAAAAAAAATGTAATCATTTTTTAAATAATTATTTAAATATGAAGTTAAATTCTTAAATAAAAATCAGAACTAATTAGAGACAAGTATACAACTAATATATGTGCTTAATATTTATTTAAAATTCTTAGGAATGATGACAAGTACTTGCAATGGTTGTATCATTTTTATAGTAATTACAAAAATGAGATCCGATCAATAATGAATAAATTTTAGATTAGTTAACGGATTGTTAAATGATGACTTTGTTAGAGATGTAAAACAATTTTTAGCTTTTGCATTTGAACATCATGAATGTATAAACGGAACTAAAATTAGGTGTCCTTGTAATTTCAATAAGTGTCGAAATCGAAATTATGAAGACGTTGACATGGTCAAACATCATTTGTGGAGTAAAGGTCTTATGCCAAGATATTATGATTAGGTGCATCATGGTGAATTTGAAACCTAAATGACATCTAAAAATTCTAGGAGTCGACATGTTTCTAAAAATTATTATGTAGGTGAAGGTAGTTCTAATGAACCTCAAAACCCATGTCAAACTATTATAATGGATGCAACCGATCCATCCGTTGATCCGTCTAACATGGAGTAGGTTCCTAATCCTAGCGCCCAACACTTTTATGATATGTTGAATATATCATATAGAGAGATTTGGCTTGATTGTAATGAGGTTTCATAATTGTCAATAGTTGCTTGAATGTTGAATCAAAAAGTCGACTATCATTTTTCGGAGAACTATTTTCACCAATTATATGAGCTAATGAAGGATGATGTCGAGCTGATAACTATATGATAGATAATTTTTATGAAACAAAGAAGTTTGGTAAAGGGGATGGGTTTATCGATGGAAAAATTCATTATTGTTAGAATAGGCGCATGATTTATTAAACGAAAGATAATGAATTAGAAAAATACAAATTTTGTCAACATTCTTGATATCAAAGTGCTCATTGAGAATCAAGAAGAGAAAAATTTATTCCAATTAAGAAAATGTACTACTTTCTTTTAACCTCGCGACTGCAGCGATTGTATACATCGAATGTGACAACCAAACATATGACATGACATGCCGAACATGAGGGAGATGATGCGGGAATTATGAACCATCCTGTTGATTCTATTAGATGGAAAAGTTTTAATCTTATTAATCTTTCTTTTATGATAGAAAAAAGGAACGTCCGATTAAGAGTGTGCACTAATGGTTTTCAACTATTTGGTCAATCCGGTGTGCAATATTCCTCGTCGTCGGTGATTGTGACTCCATATAATTTGCGACCATGGATGTGTATAAAGAAGAACTATATGTTTCAAAAGTGATTGTGCCAGGTCCAACAAATCCAAAACATAAGTTGAACGTTTACTTATTGCCTTTCATATCTAAGCTTAACTAGTTATGGGAGGTGGGTGTAGTACCTATGATTTATACCGTAAACGAATTTTTATTGAGAGATACGAGTGATGTGGACTATCGGTGACTTTTCCACATATTCGATGTTGTTCGGTTGGCGTATTATAGAAAAACAAGTTGTCCTTACTATATGAAAATTTTAGATGCTTTCTCCCTTCCTAATGGAAGGAAGACCTCCTAGTTTGACAACCATTGACCTCGGGATGGTTACTTGTATTAACATGTGTTTAAAAGAAAGTCCTACATAATTAACTAGTGATTTAAAGACAACCAATCATCATTTGACCTTGCTAATTGATTTGCTTGTCCGCCATTTTTTTATGATTTTCTTTACAAGCTTACTATATGAAGCCAAAGAAAAGTCGGTTTTTCAATGCATTTGTGTCATAAGCATTATAAAGAGGCGACAATTGTTAGCAATCAAAAATTTTCCAAAAAAATTTAAAAAATACAAAACAAAAAAAAGGAGAAAAAAAAGAAAAGGACTTAAAAAATGATTGAGGGATGCAATTAAAAAATGATTAAGGGATGCAATTTAAAAAATGAGGAG